TACCTCACCTTAAGCCAAATAAATCAATCAATCAATCAATCAATCCCTCCCTCCCTCCCTCTCTCTCTCGCTCGCTCGCTCTATCTTTCTCTCTCTCTCGCTCCCACTCCCGCCCGCGGTCCGGAGGAGGATCGCCGCCTTTAATATGGTGCGGGGAGGTTAACTCGCCGCCTTATCAGCCATTTATCATCGGCGGGGGGCCGCGACAGCCGCGGCGGCGCGGCGCCGTATCGCGCGCATCGCGTGCGCAGAACAAAAGTGTGCGAAATTCCCGTGGCGCGCTGCTCTCCGCCGCGCTCATGCCACGGACGGGGAGCAAAGGGGGGCTGAACAGCAGCATCTGGCTGTTGTAAAGACGTTTGTACGGGGGGTGGTAGTAGGGGGGAGGGCAGGGGAGGAAGGCCCTCAACTTTCGTTGTAGATCACGGCCTTAAAAGAGCAAAGTTTAGAGGTACATATACTTTGCACCCTCCCACCCCGCCCAGCCCCATACTATCTCCCACGTCGCCGTTGTTCTCCGTTACCTTTCCCGTCACACCCTCCACACTGCGGCTCTGCTCTCTTCCCTCCGCCCCACCCTATTTTCCTTGGATATACCGCATTCGTCTAATTCCATACGCTTTTCCTCCCCTTTTCCTTGGAAGCACAGATATACGGAATAAAGAGCGAGAGAGGGACGTGGGCGGGCGTGCACCGGCGGAAGGGTGATCCAAGCCGAGACCCCCCTCTCCCGTCCCCCCTCCGGGGCCCCCGTGACAAGGGCGGCGCGGACGCCCGGCCCGGCGCGGCCCGCACAGCCGGCAGCTGCTTTTGTGGAGCTTCATTTCCCGATTCCTGCACAGACGCCCCCGTCCCCCTCCCCCGCGCCGCCGCCGCCCCGCGCACCCCGCCACTGCCATGCACAAACTGAATGGAAAAGGAGATTCGTTATCTTGTTTCAGCTGCGCCAAGTTCGCGGCGCGCGGCGGCACCCTCTCATCTCTCTCCCTCACTCCGTCCGTCTGTCTGGCCTTCCCTCGGTCTCTGTCTGTCCCTCTCTATCTCTCTCTTTCTTTCTCTGCCTCTGCCCCTCTCTCTCTCTCTCCGTCTCTCTCGCTCTCGCCGCGCGCCCGTTCTCCGCTAGATAACAACCCACGTGACAGTCGGTAGTCTCTCGCACCGGGGCCGCGGCGGCGGTCCCCTCGCGCTGGCGCTGGGCGTGGCGTGACGTGGCGTGGCGGGGGCTGGAGCTCTGGTTCACGAAGGCAAATGCCAAAATAAACACCAAGGTCCCGCCGTTCATCCTTTCCTCCGACCGCCGGGTCCGGGCGGGATGGAGCACTGCGCTCACATCCAGGGGCGCCCTGCTGGCCCTGCCCCTGCTGCGCCCAGGGCCCTGGCGGACGCGCCGGCGCGGCCCACGGCTCCAGCCGGAGCAGCGAGGACCACCACAAAGGCGGGGCGGGGCGGGGTGCGGTGGGGCCAACCGACAGGGCCACGCTTTCCGCCGGCGCTCCCGTTCCCCGTCCCCTCGCCCGGCTGGCTGGGCTGGGCCCCAGCCTCTCTGAATGGAAGCTAACGAATGCGACTAAATGGTTCTCTAGACCACAAACCCTGGCTGCCGGGGCCTCGCCGGGGCAAGAAGCCTTTGACTGGCCTCTTCGGAGCACCGCAGGCACCGCACCAGCGACCCCCTCTGTAAGCGCGCCATCAGACTGCCCCCACCCCCCTCTCTCCGTCGTAAAGCAAACACGGGGCGCGGCGAGCTCGGCGGCCAACACAAGACACCTCCATTTCTCCAAGCAAAGAATGCTGATGCCCCTCTGCAGCAC